TGATTAAATCTCATTGAGACGATAAAAATAAATTCCAAATTAAAACCGATAGAATCCCATTAAAACGTGTTTTCGATTAAAACCAATTAAACATGTATCTTATGAAAACAATTTGGTCACCTTTTAGATAACTCTGTACTTTTTAGTGAGCTTAGGTATATCGGCATCACTTTTGTTTTTTTTTCTATCATATGCAAAATAATCAAAATGAACAGTCTAATTATAGAAAATAAAATTAAACAAGCATAAAGGACTCTTAATGTAAAAAAAATTTTTTTAATTTTTTTATTAACAATTGTTAAAAAAAATTAAAAATATTTTTTTTCTTCGCAACATTGAAGTACTCTTGAAACAGTACAACTTTTGTTTAAAAATTTTTTTTCCATCTTTTATACTTCCGACGATATTCGGCTCGAAATAGAAATACCATTTTTTTTCAAAGGGGTGTTTCACCCCTTAAATATGAGTTAGCGCACGTATAAAAAAATACGTGTCTCTCTCTTAGATTTTCGTGTTTAACAACATATTTCATGGAGAATCAAATTGGTTCCGGACAGTTGTGAAACTTCCCTTGTTAGTCGATAATTAAAATTAAAAATGTATAAATAGCATGACAGAGAGAAGATCACTAACACTGACTGAGAGAAAGATCATTGTGGTACTGCAAAGTCATATTTTGTTTAAAATAGGTGCATGACTTGTGAAGGCCCTCTGTGTCGGTTTGGAGATTAAGACTATTTTTTTGCTTTTTAATATTCAATATCTCTGAAATCAAGCGTTTATTATAACATGGTTCCTCATCTGGAATTTGAATATTGTTCCAATCGAAGTCGTGGTTCTGCTGCAATCTATGTTCGGTTATTACAGATCGAGCAGACTTCGAGGAATTTAATTGATACGTCGCAATAAAAAAATCGTACAAAGCTTTATTTTTTCAATTTGCTAGAAAAAATCCCTTTACGATGAGTATCATGACATTTGCGAAAAAAATTTATTGTACCCCATAGAGTGCGTCAAACTATACAATTTTTTGGAGATGTAATACATCTTTACTTTAGTAAAGATAGTGAGTGGAAGTCAAAATGAATTTAATCGAAAACTTCTTGAAGTACAAATTTTAACCCTTGAGAATAAGAAAAAACCGCGGGGGTAACTTCTCTTGAATTCCGATGAACAATCTGTCAGAAGTCCGGTGAATTTTGCTGAAGTCCGATGAAGTCCAGCAAAGTCCAATGAATTCATGAATTCCAATGAAGTCCGATGAATTCCGGTGAAGTCCGATGAAATCAAAAGAAGTTCGATGAATTCATGAATTCTGATGAAGTCCGATGAATTCCAGTGAAGTCCAGTGAAGTCTTGAAGTCCAAAGTACAGGTGTACAGCTATTATACTTTTTGAGTGGTTACCTCCTCGGGAAAAACTTTTAAATACGATTTTTTACGAGGTTATATTTACTTGAAGTTATACAAAATTTTAGTATAAATTTATGTTGCGATAATTTTGTTGACGAGTGTATTAAACATTGTATGTAACATTGATTTATCTAGATATTTGATAAACTCATTGAAAATTGTAGCAGATATGTTCCCTGCTTCATTTATATACAATTGCGAATATTATTCCTTCGGATAAGCTGAAAGTAGAATAATTTCCAAAGTGAGAACGGTTGAGTTTGTATGCTCGGACGATCAGCCTAGAGGAATTAAGAGCAAGAGATTACTTAAAGATGTTAATGTTTTTTTTTTAGAATCTTAATAATTTTAGACACAAATAAGAAGGGGAAATAAAGCCATATTTTAGCAATACACATTTTTATTAATCAATGAGGTAATCAGTGATGTTACACAATTGGTTTTTTTTTTCGAAACATTCTTCGATCCAATCATATCTAACAATTTTTACATTAGATGTTTGCTTACGTGCTTTCAGGTTTTTTTATTATAGCACTTGTCTTACCATCTTCTACGAAGATATGCGTGACTGAATCGTCAAGGGTATCCTTAATTACACCTGCCATAAAACGGAATTTATATTTGGCGGAATTTATATATATATTACAAGTTTGATCCTCAAAAAATCCAATCATTCCTCTAAATATGAACCAAGGCGATACATCCCCGAACAATACCATGTCTATTCTTTTGATTTGTTCAATGGTTAATTCACCGTATGTAAACTTAAGAATTTGTGAAATTAGATTATTATATACGATAATATACACAAATATGTTATTACGTTATCTGATATCGTCTAAATTACTTGTTCTTTACTTCATTTGCAATCTTGCTCCAACGAATTTTTAAGAAAACAACTATTTATTTAATTTCTTTTTATTAATTATTTTTTATTTTTTAAATTTATTTTTTATTTTATTTATATATTTAAATATATATTTTTTAAATATTATATATTGCCAATAAAGCATGTACCATGGTATATCAAGTCCTCATCAAACAGTCCTGATTAAATTATTTACTTTCAGCTGTACTGTGATTAGCCCGACTTTGTAATGATGAGGACCTAATCGGGATGGCCTTAACAAGGCACGCCTTAAGATACCCGATCAGGTCATTATGATATATATCATAACAGAAAGTGGAAAATGTAATCAAATATGTCGGTGCTAGATATGGCAAGAAATGTAAACATTTTTTTTCGATTTCTCTGAAACGGAGCAAAAACGAGCATATGTCTATAGGACTTTTTTTTTTAGTTTTTTACTCCTCTACACGCTCCCGAAGTTTTGCCATTTAATTTGGAAACACCCTGTATATCGAGCCAATTTCTAGTCGGGGCAGCACTACATGTCCTGATCAGGGCCTACTTATATAACCCTATGAAAATTTGCGTTGGTAATTACTATTTTCCGATAAGGCATGTATATCAAGTCCTCATCAGGATTTGATTAAATTCTTTACTTTCAGCTGTACTATGGTTAGGCCCGACTTTGTAATGATAAGGACCTAATCGGGATGGCCTTAACAAGGCATGCCTTAAGATTACCCGGGTTAATCTTAAGGCATGCTTTGATATGTCGGGCCAATTTCTAGTCGGGATCATTAAGGTGCCTCTGTATAATTTTTAAATCGCAAAATGTAGTTCGCAAATACTGACGCAGAATCTGGAGACACGTGTGTTTTGGCACTACTTATGATGATCACCGCATGCAAGATATACGCAGATGAAAACTAATCGCACGCAATGAAAAAACAAATGCAAATTTTCATTCTGCGTTTGTATTTGCAAACTATATGTTTTGCGATTTGTGAATTATGTAGAGGCAACTTTATGAACAGATTTTGACATTGATTTGAAGATTTCGATATAATATTGATATAATGTAAGAAATATGTTAATAATGTTACAAATGTTGTGTTAATATTGAATCAATATCTTGAAACGTTGAATTATACATTGCGACATACATATAGATTTAACGTCGAAAAAACATTGCAGAAACGGTCCGTTGAAATAATCTCTTGCAGATGTTGCAATACAATATTTAAAAATATTGATTAAACATTTATTCAATATCATATAAACTTCCAAGAATATTATATTAGAGAGATTCCCGAATTATTTTTTTGTTCAAAATTAAACGGTAGTATGTTCAAAGTATATTTCATTTAATTCATCTTGAAGCTTTAAGCTCCTCTTAAAAATACTTTTATTTTATATAATACAGTTAAAAAACCTTATAATATTGCGTCTTTTATTCCATTCTATATAATTTTTATTTTTAAGAAATATTACTTTGCCGCGTTCATCTAATAGCGGTATTGTTCCAGAGTAACTTTAATGTTAATTTGTTTAATGTTGTTGTAACGTGACAGCAACATCAACAATCAATATGGAAAAATGAACATTTAATGTTCAAAAAAATATTCTTCACATTTCAACATTTAATTACTTTTTCGTTTTGTGCTGTATTTATAAAATGTTTGGAAAAATATTAAAACATTTTTACATTATTTAAATGTTAGGAAACATTATATTATTGTTAGATAATATTTTGTGACATTTACAAAATATTATATAGGAACATTGATAAAATGCATATAAAATTAGTACTTCAAAATGTTTTTTTTTTATTTAGTTGTTAACATTTCTTACTTTGTTCTTTTTTTATTGAAATCGCGCTATATCTCTAGATTTCTCTCTATTTTTTTGAAGAATACTTTTTTTGCATCGCGCGAAGTTAAATATTTCTGTTTAATAACATTGATATTCCTGACTCAAATGTAAACTTCAAAGTTGATTTTTATTACTCATTTTCCTATTACATTTCCATACACTCTCTCTATACATTCTCATACTATTAACTATTTATTCATTTTTATTTCATTTGATTAATATATTTTTACTTCTTTTGAATTATCTACATCTCGTAGCGAACTGTACTCTGACATCGAGCCGATGCTGCTGGCTTTTTACGCCGACGCCACCGACACTGCCGACGTTTCCAATACCAACGCCAATGTCGACGCCAACGCCAATGCCGACGCCGACGCCGACGCCGACGCCGTCGTCGATGCAGTGTTCACGGTTTCGGGTCGACGTAGTCTGAAGCTCGGCGTCTTTGGACATAGGGGAGCTAAAACGAATCGAAGCATTAAGAACTTTTCATCATTATTTTCGTTGCATCGTCATCGTATTCGTCAACTTGATTGCAGAGACAATATTAAAATTACACAGTAAAGAAAAAGAAGTGGAAAGAGAAAACGAGAAGTGCAAATCATTAAAGATAAAGAGAAATAAAGAGAGACAGAAAAGAGAAAATAATAAAAAATCGAGAGAGAGAGAGAGAGAGAGAGAAAAATCCAAAAAGAGAGGAATTTAAAGAACATCCTTGCTAGGTATTTTCAGAAAGAAGAAAGGCATTGAAAAAAGAAGAGGTGATAGTTGGTAAGATGTGTGTGTGTGTGTGTGTGTGTGTATGTGTGTGTGTGTGTGTGTGTGTATGTGTGTGTGTGTGTGTGTGTGTGTGTGTGAGAGAGAAAGAGAGAGAGAGAAGCTAAGCCCGAAATTGAAAAGTTTGTAATTTGTGGCTGCTGTGGTTAGGTAGGATGCGTGTACTTGGGTGCGGCGTCTCGTCACCACCCGACAAACGACAGTTTAGTAGTGTCAACAGCATCCGTAATACCATCGCTAACGGCAAACCCGTCTGTGCCGAGAACGACAGTCCTGCGGAAATATTTCTCGAGAGCGCGGGAGATAGTGACCGAATCGTCAAAGACAGCGGATTCTTGCAGAGCTTGAGAACTGAGTACGACTGCACCACCATCACTGTATCATCCGGAACTTCCTCGATATCTCGTGAGAGAAGAAAGTTTTTTCGATCCACGTGCTTCACCTTTGACAACTCGCGACAGCAATCGTACAACTATACATTGAGAAAAGCGCGATACCTGTCATTCGGACGATAACGGATCATCGAAAACAGAAAAATTCAAATTTTGTGCTTCATTCCAGACTTAGTTTGGACAATTAGTGCACTAACAAACTAATTGTAAGTTTACTTACAAACTAATTGTAAGTTTCTTTTCTTTATGGTAACCATCATTGAATTTGGGTGTTAAAACGCGGAGTCAAACATCGGCGGCAAAGTTGAATTAATTCCAGCCTGAAGAGTTCAAACAACGTTCAGTCTACTCATGTTCATCCCGGACACTCTGAGAAGCTGCATGGTGGAACCGGATATTTCGACTTACCTACAAGCTCCTTCCGTCGGACAGGTGCTTAAATTTTCGAAATGTTTCATTTATGTTTACTGATCGTATAAAAATAATTCGATTTTGCTATTTCGTGCATGTGCGTTTGTTAAAGTTTCCCGCATTTGCTTCACTAATCAATAGTTTTCAAATATCAATAGCAAGATCGTTGTTAGTTAACACTGGTAATGTTTTTAGGTAATATCTATAATTTCTTACATCAAAGAAAATCATCGTAAAATGATTATGCGAGTATGCTTTGAACGCGTGTGCTTTGGTGTTCCGTCACCTTATTTATTTGACCGATTACTCCTATCCTGCATTATATTTGTACTGAGAAAAACGTTTGATAAAAAATGGACAAACCAAAAGATTCTAATTATATCAATCAGAATTCCGATTATCCTAAATTAACTCGAAGAAAATTTTCTGGTTAGATCTACTAACATTCTAGATGAGATAATCAGAATTCTGATTGAATCATCTGATTTAATCAGAATTTTTTGGTTTGTTTATTTTTAACCAAACATTTTTTTCAGTGTACACACGTATAAGTTCTTGTCGGTTTATCTCCAATTACAACCTCTGCGTATCATGATTAATTTGAGCGACATAAATTTTATACGTTTATATACATACATATCATTATATACGTTTATACATACATATAAGTATACACGCACACATGCACACACACGTGTGCGCGTGTACGTTTTGTATGCGTGTGTATACATATACATACACTATCAATTTAATATGATTTGGTGTTTTCCTTATCTCAAACTTAACATGTCGGAGTCATGGATATATATATTGAAATACAAATTTCTCTGAAATTTAACGAATCAGCTGAATCTCATTGTTTGATAAAACATTTTAAAGTAAAAGGGAAAAAGAGGGATGATTATCAACAGGAATACAGAATTGCTTGATGTCACGTTGCATCGCGTCGCATCATTTCGAGGGCAAATCTAGTAAGCTAGGACAGGGGCTATTAATAACTGTTTAGGATACCGTACCTGGCTGCCGAGCGCGCGGTACCGTCCGCGTCTCGACGACCGGCGTCTCAGTGTCGTCGCGACGACCGACGTTGCATTCGCCGTTCCGCCAACGGCGAGACTTAGTACGAGTCGCGTACGAGTTCACGAAATTCGAAATTTCTCCCACATAATTGCGATTAATTTATTTTCAATGTTAGCCGAAGTGTTGATTCGAGCTTAAAAAAAGAAGTTATTTCGGCAGTCATTTCGTTATCTCCAACTAGACGTTGTCGTATCAAAACTAAGGCATCTTAAAACTTATTCATCCAGTTACGCTTCGTCGTGATACTTTAACGCCGAAATGGCGCAGTGCAACGTACTTCTCGAAAGAATATGAGAAAACTATACCATGCGCTTCATATAGCGTCAGATGCTCGACCGATACGGATTCTTACTATTTGAATCTGAGTGGACATATCAATGTGTTAATTGTATGTACGTTCGGTTTCATCGATTGTTCGTTGTTATATTTTTCATGCCGATCTTTTCATTTTTGTCGTACGCTTTCCCATCGAATCGATATTCTCAACGCGTTATTTACCATAGAGACATTGTGCAAACGATTTTCGCGATCTCGTTATATTATATATCATTTGCTGTTTATTTATTACGTTTAGGCAGAGAATTTGAATTTTTTGTTACTATGATTTCTACAACCTGAAAAATTATGTTAACCCGATATATTGGAATGTCAATTGTGATTCGTGAATTTTTTTGAACAAGTTTGCGCCACGCAATATTGCGCGAGTAAAGACAGAAGAGAAGAAGGAGAAGAAGGAGGAGGAGAAAACGGTGGTGGCGGAAGAGAAGGAGGAGAAGGTGAAGGACTCTAATTTGAGTTCGCAAATCGTTCGTACCTGACAATGGTACGTTTTCCGTGTGACCATCGTTTTCCGGGAGTGATTCACTTTGCGCTTCTTTCCGCTTGGCTGTTCGTCGATTTTTGGCATGAATTTTCTCGCTTAAGGAGTAACTTAGAGTAATGAAAAAGAGATAGATGAAATGAAAAAAAAGAAAAAAAGAAGATAAGAGGACGCGTTGGAATTGTTTCCTTTAGCTTTTTCGCTTGTAATTTCCTTAAATATATTCTAAAATTTGTCGCGTGTTCTTCCTTAACGTTCTTTTAATTCCAACAGTAATAATGAGATTGTTTTATGTTTCTGATTTTCATCAATTTTCGAAAATAAATAATAACATTACATAGACAAATGAATGTGCATATAAATATGCGTCCATCGTACGTTTGTAAACCGTCCGTGAGCGACGGTCTCATCTCCCAGAGTTGAGTTTGTTTTTCATTATTTCATTCGTATGTTCTTTCTTTGTTTACTTATTCATCCTCTTGTCTGATAACGGAACATGTTTGACAAGCGTTTATCCGTTATCTGATGAGACTTCGAAAAAGAGCGCGAATTATTGATATACTCTTCTCCTTCGATTTCTTTCCCCCTTTTCATTGCTTTGTCATGCACAAATATCTTAAGAATCGGACGAGATTGTTGGAGCTTTCGACGTCTTAAAATTTAAACTACGGTGAGTTTAAAAAAGCTCTTTCAAACGAAAATGTAAGTGAGTTCTATTAATGACAATTTGGGATTTTGTTTGAGAAAGGAACATTGCCCCGCTTTTAATGTTAGAAATGTCGCTTCAAGAAGACGATCGCTTAACAAATATCAAAATGACTCTACATGTGCAGTAACAGTAAAATATGGGGTCAGTAAAAGTTATGCGCGGTATTATTGTACGAATTATACAGAAAATGTAGAATATATGAACGCGCAACGGCGTTTACAAAGATGGCTCCTCGACGGTGTAAGACTTTTGGTCAAAAGTGCAGATAAATATATTTATCAAATAATTGGAAAATACATGAGGAGGAAGAAGAGTGCGTGAGCGCGAATCGAAGAAGTTTTAGAATTCCAAGGATTTTCGATTGTTGATTCTTGTGTGTTCGGCTGATTGCGTGGAAGATTTAAAGTTATAAGGAAATTCGATCGCTTCTTCTCGAAAATAGATCGGTACTAATGACAGCTGCGAGCAATTCGCAACTGTGCCGTGGAGGAGTATTGGGATTTTCGCAATCGTTACCTCGAGGATCCTTGTTTCTGATAACTGGACGCTGACAGGAGGGACGGACAGACGGTAGTGTTACAGCGGCTACAGTTGTGAATACTCGATGGTTTGTGTTTTTAGCAGTATGTTTGTAGTATTCAAGATATACAATAATGAGAAGATTCTAATCTTTATTATAAATTAGAGAGAGAGAGAAATATTGAATTAAATTATTATTATTAAGGAGATTCTCCAGTCTTTTAATACGTATAAGAATTTAATCAACATATGTTAACATAATTTAAACAAATACTATATAAGAATAAGTTTATAATCAATGTGTAAGATTCCTAAATTTTTTCAGATTTATTAACCGCGTAGCTTTCTATAAATATTGTAATTTTCTAAAATAGATTTTTAAATTCTTATGAGAAGAAGGATTTTAAAGTAATTTAATTGTAAGCAAAATATAAGAATTTTGAAGTCACACAAATATAAAAGAAAAAAATTTAGAGAACATCTTGAAATTAAAAAAATAAAGTTTCACCATATCATTTTCGTGTAAGAGTATGAACCCCTACAGCATAAAATTGCACAAAAATTGCAGCAACACTGCTGCAACATTGCATGTTGCAGCAATATCGCAGTGATTTTGCAGGGATATTGCTGCAAATTCTGTGCTGTATGGGAAATGTTCATCAATTCTTTTTAAATATGACGTCGCACTAGTGGAATTATGACAACGTGGTTTCCACTACCATTATCTATATTTAAATTAAATTTAAATAATTACTATGAACAATACTATTATTAACAATACTAAATAAACTTTCTTTAATATTTTTCATATACATTTTCATTTTTATTATAAAGAATTAAATTGTAGAGAATTAAAAAATTAGAAAATGTTTTTTTTAATAACATATATTATAGTTTTATAGCTTAAATTTTATTCATTATTTATTTTTAGAAGATGGCAGTGGCATTTTGCATCCTTTGTGCTTTCATGTTAAGATGAAAAAAATCACATGACCTTCCTCCATTTTTTTAAGCTGGAGAATTTCCTTAAGTATCCATCATCAAATGTCAAAGACTTTAATATATCTGATATTAAGTGATTTGTAATAAATTTTATTTAACATACACACGTGAATAAAAGAAACCATAAATTAAGTATAAGCGAATAAGAAAATATTATAAATAAAATAAGAAGTTTGTAAACGAATGATTAAACGAAACAAATGAAGAAAAAAGATAAAAGAGGGATAAAAAAGAATTCCTTCTTACAAAGGAGTCTCGTATTATAAAGTATACATAAGTTTCAGACTGTTCCTCGCATTGATGAAGTGAACTTCAAGTGAACACGTTCATGAAACTTGGCATTCCAAGAATAAATATGAATACATAGATAACTCGCGAAACACATTGCTTCTATATAGAAAGTATCCGTAGAAGCCTCAAAAGTATTATATGTAAATTTTCATAACTTATTCAATCATTGTACTATACGAGTCTCAGTTTATATAAATCAGTTTTTTGAATATTTATTAATTCGTATAACTTCGTTATTGCTATCTATCACTTGAATTTTTTTCCGCTATTTATTTTTGCTTTGCTACTGATTAAACTTTTTTT